GATCCAAGAAGAATGAAATCCTTGACAACGTCAATCTTTTCACCGTTGATAAGAATGTTGTGTTCATTAGTCCAGTAGTGAGGATTTTTGTTTTCTTGACATTGAGATGTAATCCATACGGAAGGCTGTGCTCTTTGATCTTCATCAGTAAATGTTTTAAGTCCTCTTCACTTTCAGCAAGCAAGGTTGTATCCTCTGCATATCGTAGGTTGTTAATGAGTCTCCCTCCAATGCTGATGCTACATTTTTCTTCATATAACCCAGCTTCTGGGATTATTTGCTCAGCATACAGGCTGGTAGTTTAAAAAATAAACACTCAACTGAGGGCAACTAGGACACTAGATAAGATTACTAATATATGATGCATATTGTTGTTAGGTACCTTCAAGTCAGTTCCAACTCATAGTGACCTGTATAGGGTTTCTGAAGAGTGGCTGGTGGGATTGAACCTTCTGGTCCAGTGTTTATCCTACAGCACCGTATCATGCATATATACATATATAAATAAGTTTCTAAGGGAAAGGTAACTAACTTTTTAGATTCTCAAAGAGACCTTAGTCCTTATTTAAATTTACATGAAAAAATATCCAACTTCAAATATTTATTTTTGATTAATGATCAATGAATCTATTTTTTTCCATTAATGTAGTTCTTAGTTCCTGAACAACAAAAAAAAATCTCCATCAACATCAAGAAAATTCTCAATTTAATTAAAATGAACTGAAAAAATTGTGATATACATTGACATATTGAAATAAGGTAATTTTTCATTTTTAAATTAATTCTTTTATAAAAGTATGTAAATTTAAATGCTTAAAAATATCCTCAGAAACCCTGTTAATGAGCTAATAGAAAAAAAACTGTACATTTTTGATCAGCTAAATTGTCTTTCCTATTGCATTTATATAAACATTTAAAAGATTCATTTCATGTTAAAGTTGCAGTTTAAAAAGATAATTAGTTTAGATTTTCTCAGAAACCATGTGAATAAGAAACAAAAAGCACTTGATAATGTGAATTTAGAAATTCAGGTACCTTAACTTCTTCACATAGTTCAGTAAGTCGGCCTTCTACATCCATTTCCTCTGAAAGGAGTAAACAGTAATTAGAGGAAATATTTCAATATTAGGTATGAAATCATATACATGAATCAAATTTCTTTAAAAAGCCAGAAGACTGAGAAGTATCTGTACTATATTGACCAAATTAAATTTCAATGTGGCATATTTTCAAACACATTTATATTGATAATGTAACAACTAAGACTTAAAATCTGTTGTGATTATTTAAAGTCATGTGCTTCAGTTTTTGCAAAAGGCTAACAATGTCACAGAAATACTGATGACTACAAGCCTAAGTAAGAAGTTGTATGATTCTGCCACAGACAAAACACGTAATTAGATTTTACTGCATTTCACAGTTTGTAATTTCCAGTAAAAGTTTAATATTTTGCCTCATAGCAGGCTTATCCTGCCTTTTGCAAATGTTACTGCTAAGAAGTTCAAGCAAAATAAATTTTTATAACTCAAATATATTTTAAACCTATGTGGAATGTGGAATATTTAGTGAAAGTAAATATAAAATCTGTTTCAATAAAGTAAGTTTCTAACTTAGTTTAAAAGATTCAGTTTTCCTTAAGTCATTTTTAAGTTGAAGCAAATTTTTACTACACAATCTCTCTTGCCTTTTAAAAAAAATATAAGTTATTAACTGCCTATAAAGGACAAAGTCTAAAGATTCGTGATTTTTTTATAGGAAAGAATTCTATTAAGGTCTGAAATATCATCTTTAGATATATTTAATTTTTAAATAGAAATCAAACTAAAATGAGTTCCTTTGAAAGATTTACAGAAGTTTAGTTACAATAAAACAAAATCCCATAATCTTGTTGCTGAGAGACACTTTGTCATTCTCACACAAAAGCAAGAATATATTCTTTGATAGCTCTGAGTTCATCCATCAGCTCACTATCTCATAAGGTTAATGTTTACTGTATATTAAAAAAAATTATAAACATTTAAATTTGTTAAAATAAGTTGTTATGGTTATATGGCAAATAGTACAATCAAGTTATAATGTGACCAACAAATACTTTGCTGAGGAATAAAACTAATAGGACACATACATACTTTGTGGTTTCTAAAATATATAAATAACACTGTATTTGAACATACACCAAGAACTTGGTGGTGTTACATAGTTTGCTAATTTGGCCAATTAACTGACAACTAGAGAAATTCACTAAGGATTTGCAACTAATGTTATCATCAGATAAATCAGTGGTTTCTAATATTATGTTTCCCAAGAATAAAAAAAAAAAGTAGGCCCTGTATTAAAACCACAATTTCCAAATGCCAACATCTGCTTTTGCATTACTCATGCTATTTTCCCATGACAGATAAAAATCAATACAATTTGTCTTAGCAGGTTATATAACCAACCTCTGAATTAAAAAACCAAAAAAACCCAATTTTTAAAAGTTTTAAGCTTTGATACTTATTTTAATCTTTACATATAAGATACTAAGTGCACACACTGGTAAATTTAGACTTTGGCAAGTGGGAACAACTTCACTGTAAACAACATAGTGTAAGAGCAAAACTTAATTTCAAAATCTTAAATCAAAATAATTTTAAACTAGAAGCCTTAAATTCCATGCTTATTTTTTTCTTTTTAAAATGACATACACAGGCAGCCCCCAGATTACAAATGAGTTCAGTTCAAAAGACCATCTTAAGGCAAATTTGTATATAAGTCCAGTTAGGTAAGCTTTGCATCTAATGTGAGTTAGTCAAATGTTTATCTTGGTACATAGTGTACCTTTCAATTCATTGCTGTTGTTAAGTTCCATAGAGTTGGTTCTGATTCATAGCGAATTCAAAGCCTGTTTAGGCTTTCTGAGGAGCAGCTGGTGGGTTTTAACAGCCATCCTTGTGGTTTGCCATCCTAGGTTAACCCTATAGTGCTACAACAGGAATCTATGCATAAAAAACATTAAAGAAGCACTTCCAGATACACTAAGATATCTTTTACATAATACGGTAATAATAAGAATGTTTTGATACATATTGCAAAATAGCATCCATTAGTCATTATGAACCCATTGAATGTGCCTCGAATTTTGGTTGGTTCACAACTATGGGTTGCACATATAAGTCAGATATTCATAACCTGGTGATTGCCTGTATGTTCATTTATATAGTTTTATAAACATCTATAAATGTGATCATTATTTTATAAAAAAATTTTTGGGCCTTGGTTCCTCCTGCTAATCAAAAGTTAAAGTTGAGAACATACCCTTCACTATTTTTCAGATGTATACATCAATATATGGAGTCCTGGTGTGGCACTATGGGTTAATGCGCTTGACTGCAAAATCAGTTTGAACTGCAGGATTGGCAGTTCAAGCTCACCAGCTGTTCCTTGGAAACCCTGTACAGGGTTGCTATGGGTCAGGACTGGTCAACGGCACTAACCAACAATAACAACAACACACCAATTTATGGAAGTTTTCAAGTCATTTTTATTTTTTATTTTTTTTTGCAAAAATGGGATTGTATTTTATATATTTTTATGAATTTTTTGTTTTTCTCTTAACAGTACTCCATAGAGCTTTGGCACCTAGTTCTAGAACATTGTTTTAGATGGCTATGTCCAGGTGCATGCTGTAGATGCATCATAATTTATTTCATATTCCATTCTTTCCCCAAATGATGAGCATTTATCTTTGTTTTCAGAGTTTTCCCACTAAGAACAATGTCTGAACACACATTTTCACACAGAAGTAGAGTTACAGGGTCAAAGAGTCCATGAACTTAAAATTTGTTTTCTAAATCTATTCATCATGGACTTCTGGTGTGGCACTGTAGAATCAGCATTGAACTGTGAACCACAAGGTCGGCAGTTCAAATCCACCAGCTAGCTGCTCCTTGGAAACTCTATACAGGGTTGCTATGAGTCAGAACTGACTCTATGGCACTTAACAACAACAACATTCATCCATACACTCTTTCAACAGATATTTGTAACATAAGCTCAGAAAATGCTAGCATAATGCTAACTTTTAGAGTAAAAGATACCTCAATAAAAGTATTATTTAGCTAACTATATTATGTAGGCAGTCCCCAGGTTACAAATGTCTGGCTTACTGAAAATCCATAGTTATGAACCAACTCTCATAAAGCCTATTATATTAAAAAGATAAATATAATGGTTCATAACAACAGACACTACTTTGCAAATGTATATGAAAATATTATTACTACTGTATTATGTTAAAGATGTTTTAGTCTTTTTGGAAGTGTTTCTTTAATGTTTTTTATGCATAGACAAGCACAATATATATTATATAATAAGGCAAATTTTGACTGTTATTAGATACGAACCATACCTAAATATTCTGCCTTACATATTAATCTTAATTAAACACAGACAGGAATTCATTTGGTCTCCGGGACTACTTGTAGTTCAGTTCTGAATCAACCCTTTTCTGCTCAACTTGAAACGGACCGATATTTATGTATTTTACATGTAAAATACATTCTATAAAACCATTTAGAATGCATACACATCAATTGATAGGAATTGGCAATACAATAGTTTAAATTAGAAGTATATTTTAATTGCTAAAAAAGAACACTAAAGCATATCATATATACTAATAATTTGACACTGTAAATTCTTAAATTTTATACTTACTTAATACAAGAATATAAAAATATTTAAAAAGAATAACTACAAATACTTACAATGACTTTTAAGTTTTCTTTCTTTCTTCCATTATAAGAAAATAAGTTTTATCCATAATGATTTTAGTGAAAATGGACCTAACGTTAATATTTTTGAGTAGTGGTCATGCGAGAAATGTTGAAAAACATTTGAGCTCTTCAAGTTCTCTTTGCTCATACTTTTGAAAACTAAGAAACAAATGTTGTAATTTTATGCTATTTTTAAATTTCTCATTATAATTTGGGATGGTTGATTGGGATTATGGATTTGGGATCATTGAAAACAAAGTAAAAGCTTTCAGTATGCTTATCATAGACAGTTAATGAAATATTGCTTATATTAAAAAGCAAAAATCCAAAAAAAATGTAAATATAGCAATAAAATAATAAGATAAAAATTTTTTTTGTTAACATATGTAACATATCTGGAAAATAGAATTTTTTTCTCTCTACAATAGTAAAACTAAATGCAAATTACCAAAATAAAAACTCAAACACAGATAATGAGAATGTTTACCTTCTTTACTTTAAAAATGTATGAAACTAGTTTCAATTTTTTATCACTTATTTATTAGGCCTATACAAAGATAAATAACTTTGACCAAATTGAAGGAAATATTCAAGCAGCAAATTCTGGCACTTCACATGGTTTTCAAGTGTTCTTTAAAAGAATTCTAGAAAGTATATGGAAAAATCCAGAGACACTTCCATTGACTAGTTCCCAGTTTTAAATATAAACTTCAATATAAACTAATTTTAAAATTAGCCAAAGCTTACCTACAAATCAGATTTGTTCTAAAAGAAAATTCTAAAATGAATGGTGAAGCATATTATATTAATAAATATCTACTTAATTAAATGAAAGGGAGTATTGACTTAACCTACTTGTAAACATACCTAGACAGGTGTCTTTCTGGGTTCGTGGCTGTTTTCTTCTGAGAAGGCGTTCATATAGGACCTGCATGTTGGCCTTGGCTATTATAAGGATTGCACACAGCACTAGTTACTATACTCCTTTTTCAACATTATTTATTAGAATGTTCCAACTTGTTAGTAATAGACTTTATTATTGTATACCGGATAGTGCAGTTAGATTAGAACACTAAGCAGAATCTTTCAGTTAGTTAATTAGTTTACTAGAATTACAAATGATGTACATTCAAGTTTTGTTTGGTTTTCTACTTAAATGTATGTGGCACTCAACATTTAATAATCAAGTATTATTTTTATATTTTAACTTCTTAGACTCAGATTTTTAGAGTTGGCTATTATCCTAGAAGTCAGCTAGATCAACCCTTTATTTTTATAACTGCAGACACTGAGAATCAGAAATATTATGTGACTTGCCAAGTCTAGAT